ACATTTCTGGTCGCAGGACAGCTAGGGGTCCCCACGTGGGCATTCCCACCAGCACCTCCTGGCCTTCCTCCATGCCCCCTTTCCTGCTTCCCCCCAGTACTTCCCCACTCTTTCCACAGGATACCCAAACCCGGCCAGCTGGGAACGGCGCTCCCCTCCCCGATTTCCCCCAGGAAGGTCAATCAGTGCCACAGCTCCATAAAGTACACACTTCCCTGTCCCCGTCCAGATGAACTCAGTCCTCTGAACTCAGTCTCTGGCATCTACCCCACGTGCTTGGCACCTATCACTGCTCCAGGACATCTCTTGTCATGGTTAAACGGACTTCTCACGTTAAGAGGGCACAATACTAGGATTGAGTGCTTTCTTTTTTTTCCTTAAGTGAATGTCAGGCCTTCTACATCTTTAATTTAAACTGCTATTCCCTCCAAATAGGTGACCTCACAAAATGTATTCCAAGGTGTTTTTGCATCCAAGGAGGCGGCCAAGACTTCCATCCTGGAATTCTGCCCTGGAGGCTGCTTTTCAAGAGCCTCCCAGAGCCCCTGGACTGCGGTAAGAGTGGCTGTAAAGGAGTAAAGGAGGGGGAAGGAAAAAATTGTTTCCTGGAAGAAATCCTCAGGATACTGACCTTATACCCACTGCATGTACTTGGACAATACTCAGAAGGGTTCAGGGTTTTATCTTTTAATATTCACACGGACGTGGAGAGGTCTGAGGGGCCGTGGTGAGGCTTCCCTCCTCCAGGGGCCCAACCGCGATACCTCGCCTCTGCCTTGCACGTGCCCCGGGCACAAGAAACTCTTAGTAGAGCATGTACGCCAAGAGGTGGCCGCAGGTGAACAGAGCCAGATGGTGGGTGGGCCCTGCCCCAGCGGGGCTGGGAGGAAAGAATGAGGAACCCATTGTCCTGGCTGGACAGGGAAGGGAGGGGGTGGGACGGCCTCCCGCCCGCAAAATGCACACTGGCTGCTCTCTGATGACTCACTACCCACCGGCAATTCAGCCCCTGCTCTGACTCCCGGCCTGTGAGTAGCACCTCTGCCAGGAGCTGGGAGTCAAGCACACGACGGCACATCGGCCCTGTCAGCTCTCTCGGCCCCCAAACGCTGGTCAGAGTTCACGACCTGCCCTCTGCGGGGCCGCTCCAGTCCCGAGGCCCGCACCTCACTCTCCAGGAAAGCCGCTCCTAGTGAGCCCACTGTGACAAGCCTCTCTAGATCCCTGTCCCTTAACCTGCATTCTGCAGGTCACTGTGTCCCCTGGTTGTTTCTTGGGAGTTCCTGTCTTTCCAGTTAGACGGATTAGCAACACACACCTGGGAGGCACTCGGAGCAGTGGCCTTAACCTTGGCTGCACAGGAGACTCCTGGAAAATTCAAACAAATACCAAGACCCACACCACACCCCGGATCAAGCAGCTCAGCAGCTCTGGGGGCAAGATCCCGAATTGGGACTCAGTAAGCAGCCACGGCTGACAATCCCTGCTCTAGACCTCCGGGGTCTCTACAAACACCAAGTCGTTTGGGCCCCAGGGCTGCTGTGGGAAGGGACATGGGACGGTGTTACCCCCACTCTAAGAGGAGAAAGCTGAAGCTCCAGGAAGTGCCACCTGCTGCCGGGCCTCGGAGGCAGGCGCCTACACCACAGATTTGGGGGCTTTTACTGCTGCCTCGTTCCTCCTTACTGCCAGCTGCAGGGACAGAGGCTGCTTCAAACCAAGTCTGCCCTGAAAGACAGAACAGATGCCGGCCACGCGCCAGGGCTCTGGCGGCTGGGTCCTGAAACTAAGGAGCCGGGAGAGCCAGGTCACGTCTCCAGGAGGCACCCCAGGAGACCAGGAGGGGGGCGGATGAGCCCCACCAGTGGAGAGGCCAGCTGCGGCGGTCCCAGTGCTCTATTCCTGGGTTCTCTGCAGTTGGCACGCCTGTCTTAGCCGCTCAGGGCCCCCTTAGTGGGATGGTCAGCCATCCTCACTTACTCCAGCCTGAAAAGGAGTCAGAACTTTTAGCCTTTTTTTCTTTTTTTTAAGTTTATTTATTTTGAGAGAGTGAGCGAGCACACCAATGCAAGCAGCAGAGGGGCAGAGGGTGAAAGAATACCAAGCGGTCTCTGCACTGCCAGCATGAAGCCCAACACAAGGCCTCGATCCAAAAAACTGTGAGGTCACGACCTGAGCTGAAATCAAGAGTTGGATGCTCTACTGACTGAGCCACCCAGGTGCCCCAGAACTTCCAGTTTTAAGGCCAGGATGAATTGGTCACCCTACTAATCTCTCCCCTAACAGTCTTTGTTGGTGCTTTCTTCCTCATGAAGTGCCATGCCTCTTCTCCTTTTACTTAAGCCATAGCACACGGCTTCCTCCTGGCCTGGCCACAAAAGTTTTGCTGAACCATTGTACCCATTTCTCAGAAATCTGTTACCTGCACGGGCTGGGCTCATCAGGTGCTCTCCTGCAGGCCATCCACCCCAATAGCTACCGAACGCCTACTACACGCAGAGGGCGCATGAAGTCCCTCTAGTGAAGACACGCAGGGAACGTGCAACGCCAGAGGAATGTTGGGGGGAACAGGCTTCGTGGAGGTGACCTGGGTTGTGGGGGTGTCTGTGGCACACCCAGAGGAAATATCTTGTGCACAGGTGCAGATGTGTGCAAGAGTATGGGATGTTCCAAGGCCAAGTGGTGGATGAAGTGGGGATGGTGGTCGGGAGGGCTGCGAGGTGCACCAGAGGTGGCAATGAGGCTGGCCTGTCACACTAGAGTGCTTTATTCAGCCGACACGGAGGCATCAATCAATGGCTCTGGCGAGGGGGGGGGGGGACTAGCCAGGAAGGATTTGGCCCCTTCCCCAACCACATGGGAGAATTAAGCTTCCACCCTTTGCAAGCCCATCCCAGCTGGTCAGGGCAGTGATTCCCCTGGAGTGGCCTCAGGGAAGTTCGTGGGGAACAGCCTCACCTTGGTCTCTCTCACCCCCGTCTACATATTACAATCGCTTGGACAACCCTTAAAACTCCTCATGCTCAGGGTGCACCCCAGGCCAGTTAAATCTGAACAGATCAGGGCAAAACCCACACATGGCTATTTCTTTTTTTTTTTTTTTTTAATATTTTTTATTTATTTCTAGGAGAGAGAGAGAGACAGCGTGAGCAGGGGAGGGTCAGAGAGAGAGGGAGATACAGACTCTGAAATTGGCTCCAGGCTCTGAGCTGGCAGTCAGCACAGAGCCCGACGCGGGGCTCGAACCCGCGAACTGCGAGATCATGACCTAAGCGAAAGTCGGACGCTTAACCGACTAAGCCACCCAGGCGCCCCCACACATGGCTATTTCTAAGCGGAAGGAATTCCAATGTACAGCCAAGGTAGGGAGGCCCTGCTCAGAGGGGCTCCTCTGGCAGGAAATGTACCAATTGCACTAGAGGGGCCCCCCACCCCATCCCGCCTCCCTCCTCCCCACTGTGCCACAGGAAATGAAAGGGCACGAAAAGGGGAGTAGGGATGAACACACACTTTGAAAAACGTTTCCCATGCTTGGCTGCAATATGCCCATGTGCAGAGGGAAAGACTGAGGCAGAAGAGGAGCCTGAAAATCAGAACTAACAGGTTTCAGGTCATTTTCAGTACCCTCCCGCCCCTAGAGCCTCAAGGAAGAGCCCAGAGCCCGATTCACAGGCAACTTTGCATCTAAGAGGAACCAACCCAAACGTGCAGTGGTTTCCTCCTCGTCCAAATAAGCCAGGCCTCAGGCACAGAGTGGAGTTCCGTTCACTGGCCACAGACGGGCTTATGTCGCTCCCTAGTGGCAAGGCTTGAGTCCAACTCCCATCCTCCACCTCCAGAAGCTTCTCCCACAAATCCCCTCTCCCGCTTTCAATTAGGAAAATGCTTTAGGACAGAGAACGTGCCAGTGTGAAGTGAACGTGCCCTACAGCGTGTACCGAGCCCGGGCATAGGCCCTACACCTCCTGCCCCTCCTCCCGGGGATGGGAGGCACCTCGCTGCTATGGTTATGAGCTTGAGCTACGAAGCCGGACAGCAGGCTCCTCCAGGACTCCCTGTGGGGCCTAGAGAACATCACTACATCTCAGCTGCTTGTCCCATGGGGGTAATATAGGATTGATTCAGAGGGTTTGTGAAGGGTGGAGGGACGACCCAGGAGACTAACCATACCTGACTTCCGTTAAGGGACACAGACAGCAAGCAGTATTAAGGGTTTTCCTCCAAGGAAATGACACTCCCCCCCCCCCCCCCCCAAGTAGGCTGCTGGGGCTCAAAACTAAACCCAGAGACACTGCCAAAAGGGCATCATGACTTGCGTTTGGGTTACTTTTTCTTGGTAATGACATTCTGATCTGATTTGTTCGTGGTCTTTATTTCTTCATATTTCACTGTTTTAGTTACTTCCTATAAGCCTCTTCAAATCCTTTCTGGAACAAGATAGGATATAAACAAGTAAAACTTTATTTTGGACTCGGTAAGTTTTACTCTTTACACACAAATGCCCAGCTAGCTGAGCATAGATTTTCAAAAGATATCATCTTTGATGAAGACAGAAGCCTTCTGTCTAAAAGACAAGAGTTCCAAAATACACACATCAGAATTACCTTAGAGCCCCCCCAAAATACTCTAATTTAGAAGGTTTGGGGGCACCTGGTGGCTCGGTTGGTTAAGTGCCTGACTTCGGCTCAGGTCACGATCTCACAGTTCATGAGTTCGAGCCCCACGCTGGGCTCTGTACTGATAGCTCAGAGTGTGGAGCCTGCTTTGGATTCTGTGTCTCCCTCTCTGCCCCTTCCCCACTTGCACTCCGTCTCTTTCTGTCTCTCAAAAATGAATGTTAAAAAAATAAAAAATTGGAAAGTTTGGGATGGGCCCCAGGAATCTGTAATGTTAAAAGTTTCCTAGCTGCTTCGAAGGCAGCCAGTCTGGCCCCTGACCATGGAGCAGAGTTTGAGAATCTCTGGCCTAGAAAACAAAAACAAATTCTTTTAGTTACAAAATATAATTGTCTAAATAAAATAATTCTCAACTTTATTTACCTGATGTGTTTCAGAAACAATGGGTATATAACTTCAAATTTGCAATTCAAACCCACTTAAATTCATTAGGGCAAAGACTGGTAAAAACCCAGCAGCGAAGCCTCCTATAAAATCAAGACTCTCCAACTTACTTGGTCTTTTGAGTTTGGCTTTACTTAAGGTGGTCGCACCTGGAGTAAATTTCCACGGAGTAAAAATATTCCCAAGTTCCCTGACAACCCACCTGTCTTCATCGGCAACAGGAGCACCCAAATCCTGCACAAGGTCACAGACGCTGTCCACCGGAGCTTCCTGCGCCAGCCTGACCTGACACTTCACCCCAGCTCCACTAGAGGGTGCTCTTTCCTTGGCCTGGAACCCTTCCCTAACCCACTGGGGGTGGGGTGGGGGGGTGCTGTAGAGACAGTAGCACCCAGTTAGGCCAAGATGCATTTCTCATGGGACACTGAAAACAACTCAGGCCATCTCAGTGCCTTAGGCCTCCAGACACACTGTGACTGCTGTCCCTGAGCCCCAGGTGGTGAAGACCCACAACCTGCCTCCATAACTTTTCTTACAAAGTAGGGAGAATGGCTCTGAAGGTACAGCAAGGTGGAAAGCCTTACTCCTAGTTCATCAAGACCAGCAATCACTATCAAGACAAGTGTGGGAATACACTGGTATGTGCTACAAATAAATACACCACATCAGCCAACGGAGGGTGGGGTGCTGGGGGGGATGGAGGGGACTTCTGTCCCCTAGAGTTCAGGTCCATATGACTTAGTTGCTCCTTATACACCTTTGAACTATGATCTCTGGCAGGATCCTCAGATGCCCAGGGGATAGGACAGCTGGGTCTGTGCAATTTACACATCCATTTTATGGAACCCTTTATATGGACTGCTAAGATCCCTGTGCTGGCAGGGGTGCTGGCGGTGATGGAAATGTTACCTCCCCAAAGTCAGACCCAGGTCTGAAGACACCTTGACCCCTCCATATACCCTTCAGGCTACGTCCTCACCCTGGCGAGGCCCTCTAGATCCCCCTTCCTTGGAAAGCCATGCAGCCCGTTCAGCCCAAAGGGGAAGGAGAGATGGCAATCCCACCAAGAGTGAAATTAGCACCCAGGAAGCTCATGTTACAACTCTGTGACAATGAGGAAACATTCACGAAAACGTATGGCAGAAAAGACCAATATGGCTACAGAAACAGGTGGGAAGTAAATAAGGGAGGTGGGAGGGAACACACACAGAAAAGGAAAAGACGACAGAAGATAGTCCAAGTGACAAAAAATAAACACAGGAAGTAGGTGGAGCATGACAATCAAAGGTGGAGTTAATACTGACCAGCTTTCCAGTTCTGGGAAATTCTGAGATTATTTTATGTCTTGCCATAAGACAACTGGCGTACGGCTGGTAGGGAACATGACAGAGGAAAACATCTGCTAACCAGGTCTTCCTGGTATCTGCAGTGCTGAACCACAACAAGACAGACTGGTTTACAATAAATTCCACAATATGCCAGCTTCTGGCACAGCCTTAATCCGGGGTTGGTCAGAGAAGGAAAAAGGTCCCGGTCCCTGAGATCAGAGACACACGGGACACCCAGAACACCTCCAGCGCGGTGTCTGCCCACACCGGCGGGGCGGAATGGGAGCCTGGCCGGCAGCTGCTAACAGATTTCAGGGGAGGGAAAGAGCAAAGGATCAGAGACCCGAAAACTAGAGAAGATGCTGTAATGGACATATCACAGCAACTTTCTCAGGGGCAAAGGCCCCCCCAGCGTGCGGGCAAGAGGCCAGGCCAGGCCTAGAACCACAGAAGCCAATCATTCTGTTAACCATGGGGAAAAAAATCGGTGATTAGGGTCTTCAGTCTCAAGACTGAACACTCTCAGGGAATAATACTGGCCTCACGTTAGGGAGGAGAAACACCCAACGACCCTAATGTGGAAAATCTTACTTGCTGCCTGCAATAGCATCAGTGCCTCTGTTTCCTCTAGGTAACTGCTTCCAGGGAAGGGTGACAAGTATCAGCAATTAGTCATCCGCATGTCACAGGGGGTGGGGGACGGAAGAGCGTGGAAACCGTCTGTTATAAGGACGCAGGAAAAGAAGGCCTCTTTCCCCTTCTTTTGGCTTCTGCTCCGGGTTATCCCCTAGGAGCCAGAAAGGCCGAATGATGCCAAAGTGAACGGTCCGAACGGTCCTACCTGCAAGGCTCACCATGAAAGCCTCCCCGGGGCAAGCATCAGCCACAGGGACAAAAACAGCAAAGTCATTCTTTCCCGCCCTTCCTTCTTCACTCCCTACCCTTACAGCACTTCCTCCCCGCAGTGAGGGCAAGAGACAGAGAGAGAGAGAGAGAGAGAAGAGGTCCTCTTTCATTTCCTTAGCACCACGCATCCTGGTAGCACTCGGCTCCCCTCCAAGGTATTACAGGAAACAGCAGGTTCGAAACTCCCGCTAGGTTACAGATCACAATTACTCCCAGTGGTCTTCACAGTTAAGCAGGGCATACATTTCAGAAGGCAGCCTCTGGGCCCAACCCTCTCTTTCACGCACACACACTCACACAGACTCTCGCACGGTGGGATCGGCATCCAGCCGCGGGGCGGGGCCGGCTCATGTCAGGTACTGCACCACGAGGAACATGACCACACAGGTGAGCAGCATCCCACCGAGCATGAAGTACTTGTCCTGGAAAGCCCGCTTCTCGATGAGCCGCATCACGGTGTTGGACAAGCCCAGCATGTTGGCAATGTCAAGGATCTTCTTCTGTGTCCCCTGGAGCGGACAAGAAAGGAAAAAAAAACAAAGATCAGCTCCTTTTGCCGAGGCACGTAACTTCACCTAGAGACAGTCTCTTGGTCATGCCTGAAAGCATAAGCAGCACAAATCAGGAATAGATCCACTCTAAGGTCATATGACTTTTGATCAAGGTACCGGAGCAAAGCAAGGAGGAAAGAAAGGTCTTTTCCACAAATGTGCAGGAACGATGGACCCTAGTATGCATATATATCAGGACATACATACACACGTTTCACATATACCATACAGAGGTCTGTGTGTAAAAAGATCCTCAGTTCGTATTAGCTCCACAAAAACTGGAGCTGGGTCACAGAATTAAACATAAAGCTTCTATAGGAAAGTACAGGAGAATGAAACAACCCACATATACATTGACCAGAGGACAGACAAACCACCTCTAGTGTGGCTGTACAATGGGACACACTACTTGGCAATAAAAAGGACCTAATAACCAACTTTAAACAGTATGAAATGAGCCTGGAAAACATTCCTGAGAAAAAGCAGCCACATTTAGGAATACATTTATATGAAATCCAGTAACAGACAAAGAAGTAAGAACCAATGGCTGCCTGGAAGGCTGGCTGGGAAAAGCATGAAGGATTGTCCGGGGGCAACGAGAATGATCTATGTCTTGACAGCAGTGTGAGTTACAACAGTGGATGAACTTGTTAAAATTCAATGACCCGCACAAATTAGATCCATACGCCTAGCTCAAGAAAAGTTTTTTAAATTAGAATGTTTTATGTATTTTTAATAAAGGGAAACCTGAAAAAGCTTTTCCTCTGCTCCCTGACTCCAAAATCCTGGCTATCAGCCTGTTCACTCTGTGGAGCAGAAACCTCTGGGATCCTGCTGCGTCTAACGCGTGGGCCAATGTCCGTGTTTGCGAGAGTGTCTGAAGCAGGTGACGTGGAATGACCGTCACCAACACAATGACCCCTTATACAAATGCCGTCAAGACCAAAAGGGTATTTTACTCCTAAATCAAGAGCCCACAGCACTCCACCTGCCCTTCCTCTCTGCTTTCCAATGTTTGTTTTTAAGCACCCACAACTGCTCATGAGGCGGCAAGTAGAAACACCGCCGGGCACAGCCCAACTCACTTCCACGCACACGGCCCACCGCGTCTGCACGGACGGCACCTAACCTAATGCCTCACGTGCAGGTTTTAAACGAACACCACATTAACGAGCAGGAGAGAAGGGGCAGAACTGAAAACCGCAAGAGGCATCACGGACAAAAATTCAAAACCTGGGGTCGGCGCGTGACGACAAGCCTCACCGAGAGACAGCTTTCCACTCAAACTCTACGGCTGCCAGTGGAGGCCAGAGACCTGTTTTTGCAACGACAGTGATGGTAAAATTTAGGTTCTTGCTAAAGATTCTGCTTAGCTCGGAGGCGCCTGGGTGCTCAATCCGTTAAACGTCCAACTCTTGATACTGGTTCAGGTCATGATCTCACAGTCTGGGAGATGGAGCCCCACACCAGGCTCTGCACTGACAGCTCAGAGTCTGCTTTGGATTCTGTCTCTCTCTGCTCCTCCCCTGCCTCCCCTGCTTCCCCTGCTTCCGTGCTCTAATTATAAATAAACTTAAAAAAAAAAAAAGACTCTGCTTAGCTCTGAAAGATTATTTCATCACTGTGTGTAATACAAGTATCAAGCTTCTAAAATCACCTGAAAATTAATATAAATTTCAAAAAATGTATTCCTTTCTGACCACAAATTTCCCCCAGTCATGGCCCAGCAACTTCACTCTCTCCCCCGTATTCCTTTAACAGTTTAGGCAGGAATGGGGTGGGAGGAGGCTGGAAGGACTCAAGAGACAAAAGGCCAGTAGCAGCAGGTGTACAGAGGAAACTGAATTAGAAACCGCATGCTCTGACCCTGACCGCCTCACCGGACTGCCCTGCGAGTCCTTCTGGGGACAGCACAGGGGCAGATGTCACTCAGACTCTGCAGTGATACCAGACTTTGATAGGAAGTGAACATTTGCTTTCACAATAGGCTCTGACCCCCACCAGGTCAACGTCAGTGCAACGTAGGGAGTCGTGTCCTGAAAGGGTTTTACTGTTTTCCTGAGATGGGGGCAACTTTCTAAAGAAAGGGCAGATTCATCATCACGTATCAGTTCAGACTGCTGCAGGTGGCCGTTCAGTACGAGGGCCACTGGCGAAGCTGTTGGAGACACACTTCCAGGCCACCAGAAGCACCACAGCCAGCAGCAGGGCGTGAGGGCCACCTCTGGGCTGCCTGACCTTCTCCCTGGCGAAGACAGCAGGGGCTGTGCGGCAATGGGCCGAAGTCCCGCGGGGCTGACGGGCTCAACGCAGTCCAACAAAAACTAAGATAAAGCTCACACTTCCGAGTGACTGTTTCTCACAGCTCAGTGGCTGGGAGTGCAGCATTCACAGGGGACCACACCCTGATAATAGGCACAGCCCACACCCCATTACCCATTAGGGCTGATACAGGAAAAGGGCTGAGGCTGAAACATCATGACGACATCAGAATCTGTGTAATGTTTCTGTAAACCACTCCCGGGGGGTCTGAGTCTTGGCCAGAGGGGGCGGGGCTTCTAGAAATACCTGTGACTAAAGAGAGAACCATTGCTGTGGGCCAGGACCAGATGCTCTAGAAGCCTTCTGTGTCTGTGTCTAGTCAACCCAGGCAGCCCTGTGCCCCCCCCCTCACCCCCCCAGGAGCACAAAGGTCTCGGCTATCAGGTAGGCCGCAGGAAGGGCTCTCTGGGAAACCACATGAGGGCGAGGTGCCAAGTGTGGCCATGTCTGCCTTCTCAGAACCGTGCATTCTGTAATTTCTGCAACTGTGGAATTTCTTGGTCTTACTGGTTCCCGTCGTGGCAACCACTTTCGTGGAAAGTTCAATAAATGGAAAAAGACCTAGATGCCAAGAGATGCCACTGTGAGCACAAGAAACAGCTACAGGTGAAGGCTAGGCGGTCACTTGTGAATTCCTCAGACTTCAGCTCCAAAAGAAAGGATCCCAGACTCGAGGCTATGCCTCACCACCAAAATATCAAAATGCGAGGATATGTACCCAAGACGTCAATGTGGGTATCCAACTGTTGGAGGAGGCCAGAACAAGGGGCCTTGTCCCTGTCCCCCAGAAAAGCCCCCACCTTCAAGGTCAGTCTCTGGGCCCTCAGTCCCTCCAGAATACTGTGCCCGCCTCCAATGAGGTCGTCCATGCCGTAGTGAATTTTCTGGAGGGAGGAGTTGAACTGCAGCGAGTCATCCATTGGGATGGTCGTGTCAGAGTCCTGTGAAAGAGATGCAGGCACAGGATTAGCTCTGCCGGCTCGTCAGCTCCTGGGGTCCCAGCGCGTCTGACTGCTCTGCCCGTTGGCCAAGGCCAAGCCAGAGGGACAGCCAGAGGGAATGGTGTGAGAATCGGAGGAACCGGACAGAGAAGAGAAAGCAAAGACCTGGAGGGGCCTCTGTTCACTCAGAGGAAGAGCAACTTTCCTCAGACTTGGCACTTTCCAAATGAATTCTGCTATATACGGCCTGGTAATTCCTGCCTCTCATCCATGACCACCACTTAGGAAAAAACATCAGTCCTTCAAGGCCTCCCTGGGCTTCTCTTGAAGGCCTTCTCTGATTACTTCTCTCTTTATTTAGTTTGTTCCTAATGTTCCTTTCCTTGGCTTTCCCTTAACACAGTTAACATTACATGTTTGCTTTTGTTCAGCTATCTTATCTACAGCTCATCTCTACAATTAGATGGAGACTAAAGACAGAGGAGATGAAGGCCAAATGGGTATTCGGGGTGGGACAATTCTCCTCAGCAGTCAAGAAAGGGCTGTAAAGAAATGAAGGGAGAAAAACCGGACACTGATCAGATGCTTTCCACCCTGCGTGCTCATGACCCTAAGCTCACTTAATTCTCATTCTAACATCACAACATAGTCACTGTACTCTCCCCATTGCAGAGGTGAAGAAACTGAAGCTAAGATCACACAGAGCTGCTCGGTCCGGCGGGGCCTGTGTCTCACTACTGAGTGCAGAGTGGGCCCTCTTAACCATCCTGTAGGAAGAAACGCCGAGACTGGCCCCGGAGCTCTAAGTCTACACTGAAAGCGGACTGGATACAGAAAGCAGTCAGGACTGGCCGTAGCTCCCTCTTTCCCATGTCCTGGCGATCGCGCACTCTTCTGCCATGCTGTGTCTCTCTCCCCTCTTTCAGTCATCACGAAGAGGTTAAAGCACCTCTTCTTTGCCGCGCACGCTCAGAATCATTTTCACGCACCTGCTCTTGGAGCCCCCTGCTAACACTGGAGTTTCCCGAGAAGCAGGCAGGGACCACGGCTTTTCACTTTTCCACAAGCGTTACTCTCAGCATCTTAAACAGTGTTCTGCATACAGCTGATGTGCAACGGGTCACAAGATGCCAGCGTTTGAATGAACCAATGAGAGGGTTCTCTTCATTGGACAAGCACTTATTGAGTGCCTTCTGTATACAAATCTTTCTTACCTTTCTGCTTGAAAAGGTAGAGCTAACGGGGCATTATCACTCAGAAAAACATATGTACTTCCCACTTACATGATGACCAGCAAGGAGTCCCCATGGCAAGTCAACTCTGATTAAGGGGCACTGTCTGCACAGCACCGCACCGAGCTGATAAGCAACGATAAAGAATTCTGAGCGATCATCCCCGACCTAGAAGAGGTTTGAATACCCCAAGCCGTAACGACCAAAAGCCCACACACCTCTTGGCATGTTGTATAGTTTGTTACACTTTTGAAAGGCAGCTATGAACACTTGGAACTACGGAAATGAGTTCCAGAGGGAGGGACCCAGGGAGGGACGGGGCGGGGGGAGGAAGGCAGGTAGGCAGGCAGGCAGGCCGGCCAGCCGGCCTACCAGTATGCCTCCAACATGTCCTCATCACACCTCTGAATTGTTAATCATTGTCACTTGACTGCTTACACCAGAGAAGCAGACCTGAATCCTGATGGCAGGCTTAAAAAGCTAAGACCTCTTTAGAAAATGAACCTCTCTGTTAAAACAAAACAAAACACTCAAAACCTACCTCACTTGGTAGAAATACATTATGCGGGACCTGAAAAAGGCCAGCATGTCCTATAGCCATCTATAGCCACATATGCGCAGGAAATGATCCTATTCAGACCAAGGGGCAGGGGCAAGGTGTTCCAAAAGTCGAACACGCACACCGACAGGCCACTTTCGAACAGGCTCAAGTCAAGCAAGCCATCCAAAACAAAAGACCTGTTAACAAATGCCTCCAAACTGTTGCGCAGATTCGGGACAAGCACATCGTAAAGCACCTGACACTGGAACCACACACGTACACGGCACACAGCCAGCGCCCGAAGGCAGCTCTGAAATGCTGCCCCTCGTGACAAACGGTCTCGGTTCTAATCATCTGTCTCTGTCCGATTAGAAAAACGTTTCCACCACAGGAACTTCTGCCTCTCAGTCAAACCAGGTATTTTCACCCCTCTGCCCGCTCGTTCAATTTAACTGCCTCCACTTTGGGTTTTTGTGTTAGAGAAGGAGGTCCCCCTTAGGCTAGTGTCTGTGGCAAGGCACAAAGTCCACTGTCACTTCCAGGCAGTCAGCTTCAGACACCACCTAAGATGATGACGCTCCAACGAGCTGCTGAGTACCCGCACCCCCCCAGCCCCCACCTCCCCCACCTCCACCGGGAGCCTGGCTTACATTAGTGGTGAAGGTGCGAGACAGAAGCTCGTCTCGCTGTCTCTCCTGCTCCTCCCTTGTGTGGCGCTGATGCTGGAAGTTTCTGAGAGCAGTTTGCAGGTGCTGGACATCATACTTTAACTGGTCAACACGGCTGGAATTGATGGAGAGAGAGATTACCTTCCGGGAACCCAGGGCTGCACAATTTGAGTGGCCGGGCTTTGTATTCAAGACAGACACTTCCTCACTTCTCCTGACGCCACTGCATGCTGCTCCCCCAACCCCCAGAATGATCTGATTCTGATCATGATGAAAATAGAGAAGCAGCCTGTGGTCAAAGCACAGCTGTAGCACGTGCTTAAGTAGCTTTGCTTAGGCATCTGCTGGTCTCTGCTTCTGGGTGCATGACAGGGAACAGGTGACAGGACGCAGGCTCAAGGACCTCTCCCTGACCTTCTGTGGATTCTATCGCTTTTCCAGAAGGAGCCCAAGGGCATCTTTTGAGTAAAGCATCAACAAAGTTTCATAAGAGCTTTTGGGAGCAGGGGCTGGGCTGGAGGTGGTGAGGGTTTTCATTTTCATTTCATGGGGGAATGTGAGACGTTAGATCAGCATCTGATTATAAATCGGCTGATTGAGGTGATTAAGGGCAAGATTTCACTTTCATCCAAGGACGCAGCGGGAACCAGAGGGCAGGGCACATCTCCCTGGCGGTGGCAGGCTTCAAGGATGGCCATGGGTCTGGCCAGAAAAACAGTACTGGAGGCAAAATTTCAAAATAACCCAACATGAGGAGACACAAGGCTCTCTGAGCCACTAACCTCACAGGCCTTTTATTTTGAGGAAGTATCTCTGAAACGGAATCGTGCCCTTTAGGGGCCCTTCATCTCTGCAGAGTCTCAGTTCTTCAATGGGTAAAGGGATTTTTCAGGGCATCTGACAGCCTCCCCCGGGCCAGAGGCGTCGAGACACTCACAGTTTGGCGTTCTGCCTTTTGTTAGGGGGCTCCTTGCTGGAAAGAATCTCCAGACGTTCTAGATGGCTGAATATCTGGTCGATGCTTGCTTGGATTTCATTTTCTACAACTGCACAAAAGAGAAAACAGAATAACTGCTGGAAAAGAGACAGTGAACTTAAATTAAAATGATACGATAAACACGTCTTTTTCCATATCCAATAAATTCAAAGAAACACATCTGAAGAGGAAAAAACGCATATATCACTGAATAATGGCAAAAAATTCAAGTCATGCTAAGTGACTCTGTAAATGTTGTTCTAAATACACACATGCATATACACATGTAGCTGTTAATGCTATAACAACTCCAATATTTTAAAAAGCTACAGATAAATCTGTAGGAATAAATTTCCTGCCTTTAGAACATAAAATGAATATTTAGGTTGTCCAATAAAATATTTTAAGCAAAACGCAGTATCTTCTGAAATGGAATGAGGTCTCTTTTCCTTTGAGATTATTCTCAGATACGAGTTATAAATATCTAGTAAGAAGGCTGCCAATTGAATTCCCTACAGTAATGAGGTTAAAAGAAAAAAAAAAGCACAAAGGGGAAGATTAGTATGTGAAACACACAGAAGAGCTCCCTTGAGGCTTTCCATAAGGACGGGCAGGCTGATGCTGGAGGCCCCAAAATAGACCAAATATCACTAGGAAAGGCCCAGGAGAGAGTCCACAGAGGTGAAGATATGATAAATACCATCATTTTCCTTAGCTCTTTTGATAAACAGTCAACATGACCTCTTTTCCATTTCTAATCATGTGACAGTGAGAATTCTGGGAAGGCAAACAGTGCACATGCATAGAAACTAAACCACACATAGAAAAGGGCACCCGGGGGCGCGTGGGTGGCTCAATCGGTTAAGCATCTGACTGTGTCTGACCGCTGATTTCAGCGCAGGTCGTGATCTCACGGTTCGTGGCATCAAGGCCCACATCAGGGTCTGCTCTGACAGCTCAGAGCCTGTTTGGGATTCTCTCCCGCTCTCCCTTCCCCTCCCCTGCTCGCGTGCTCTGTCTCTTTCTCTCAAATAAATAAATAAACATTAAAAAAAGGGGGGGAGGGTACCCAGATTGCTTCTTCCCCAATAAAGACACAACAGTGAAGACGGCAGCATCACACTCGTAGGCCAGCCTGTGGCAGCTAACATATGAACTTTAGATTAGAACGGGGTGGGGCAGAGACCCCAGAAAAGAGATGCTTTCTGACGCTGCGAAGAGGCACGAGCAAACAGGAAAGGGCACGGCGATAGCCGAGTAGGGAGGTGAGCGGGGGCTTCTGCGGCGCGTGGGCCACCAGCGGTGTCTGCAGGACCAGCTCGGAAAAAGGACCTTTTCTTGCCAACGGGAAAACCGTGAAGCAAAAAGCAGTGCTCTTCTTAAATGAAACCGGGTGTGGGAACTAAACTAATTAATATTGCTGTGCAGTTTCTGAATAATCCTCCTAAAAAGCCACAGTCCTCAGCTCAGAAGAAGTGACCAATTCCAGTTAAACGTCGCTGAATCTGTACGGAGTACATTCCTCTCAGGGCTCGGTAATTAGATTAAGACAGAGGAGACGAGGTCCATTCCCACAGGGCCCTGTCAGGGTGAGCTGAGGGGTAATGGGGGATAAGGGCTGCGGGATTCCACGGGGCGCGATCAGGGAAGTCAGGGGCTTTGCCAGAGGGTTTTTCTGTCCACCCCTCACAACAGAACTCCTTCTGCGCGGAATCATTAAGCCCCCGAGGCAGAAAGGCGGTCAGGAAACCCAGCCCATTAGCATCGTGTCATCAGAGAAAGGACTCCGGGCTCCACAGTTAATTACTCACGGTGCAGAGACTGCTTGTCGGCCGTCTCCAGGCGTCCCATGTGAGACTGGATCTCATGAACCTGCCTATCAAAGGAAGAGAGAGGAAATGAGTGAGACAGGAGTAATCAACAGTGCTTTAGTCAGGAAAGACAAGTTCTCTAATGCCAACGTGTAAGTGATTTAAAATGACGGCGTCATTAAACTGTAAAATGTGTAAGTGGCACCTCAAGCCACCTGTTTCAGCCTGGTTTCTAATATTTTACCATGAATATTAATAAGAACACTGATAGGCAGCGCTTACTGGGTGCCTGACACGTCGGAGACATTCTGCAAAATTAATAACTCTATGGGGAAAGGACCATTATCATCTTCATTTTATAAATAAGACAACTGAAGCCCAGAAAGGTTATGTAACTTGTTCAAGGTCACACAGCAAGTGATAACCCTCAATCTGGACCCAGCCAATCCCACTCGCTGTTCTTTGACCCAATGTGCTAAGCACTGGTCTGTATGAGGGAGAGTCAAAGGGCAAGACAGATAATCCTTGTCCTTGAGAAACAATGTAATTAAGAATGACAGGCCAGATAGACACGAAAAGTCCCAAGTAGAGTTAAGAGAACACGAACACATGTAAGTACAAATAAAAAGGAAGCCGAGGGACCATGCGCAGTGGCGTGGTGCCAAGCAGACATAAGAAAGTAAAAGAGTGAGCCGGGGGAAACCGGTGGGGTGAAGGGGGTTCTGAAGAGCATTTTCAAGATGGAAGACATGACCCGATGAGGGAAGAGATGAAGAAAAGGAGAAGCGAAAAGGCATGTCATTTGGATCACAAGCAGGTGGGCCTGCCTGAGAGAGCGTGGGGGTCAGAGGGGAGAAGGGATGAAGGCTTTGTCAGAGAAAACTCTCAGAGGAAGGTCCTGAAAGACCACGATCACCTGTCTGGTAAGCGTCTTGCCCTGGCAATACCAGGCAACGGCCATCTCACTGGAAGTGCAACGCCGTACCCTGGCTCTCTGGCCTGGTCGCAGATGGCAGGCCCGGGGCACTGTCTGGACGCTCCTCAGGGCTTGGCCACGTCACCCTCAGCGATCAGTTCTGGAATACTGCGTATGCTACCCCAACCACCGCCTCCCGGTGCTTCTGGTCTCTCACAGCGGAGGCACAGGAAAGGAGTCTGCTCAGCCATTACGTCACCTCCAACCTTTGAAGGAAAGGGCGGCAACCAGCCTCCAGCATGAGCACCGCAAACTGTGAACCCAAATTTACCAGTGCAAGCCAGGAGCCCAAATTTGGTTTCAACTTTGTTTTGTCTTTTCCAGGGTTTTCTTGCAGCCTCTACACACCACCCAGGGTACCAGAAGCAAGGTCAGTGCTCTGATGACTCTGAGTGCACCTATGTAAGACCCACGGCCCTGAAAGGAAACTAGAAATCACTACTAGCGATGGAGAGCCCACACCGCTACTCGAGTAACATAAGCCCTGAAAGTGCAGGATGAGGGCACATGGAGAGGTGGAGGCCCATGTAGGGATACAGTTGAGTCAACCAACATCTGGATCAGGGTAACCATAGAAACAGCAAGAGGCCTGCAGGGCAACGCTGATGGAAAGGAGAATTAGAATTTTACTGAAGGCCTGCATGGAGGCAGCGAGGTACATTTTCAATAGGAGCTTCAGAGAGCAAATGTGAAAATTAGCAGCATCACTGAGAGGAACAGGAACATAATTAAAAAAGTGGGGGAGCAGGGGGCAAAGAACATCCAAGACAACTCTGAATTAAGTATGAGAGGGATGGCCTGACCCACCTGCTATTAAGACCTATTACAAAGCCATAATAATAAAACAAACAAACAAACAAAAACCACCGTAGCAGTGCAGAGACAGACGAACTCTAATCCTGACCCAAGAGCAAAGAATGGAGCCCAGAAAGAGTCTTCCGTATGTGGGGACTTGATGACATAAATGCGTGGGAACAGACTACAAACAATGGCGAAGGCTCAGTCTGTTACCGCATAGAAGTTATTTCACGTGATACACAAAAATAAACTCAAGATGGTCTAAAGCCCAAACGTAAAAAGAAAGGCTTTGAAACTTTCTGGAGAAAATACAGGGATGCATATGATGAGGTCAGGTCGAAGAAGAATTTCTTCAACAAGACAAAAATCAAAACTATCCCCCACACCACACAAACCACAAGACTCATCAATTTGACTACATTAAACCAAAAGATCTGTCTACACCAAAGGCACTATAAAAAAGTAAAATAAAAAGACAGGCAGAGCCCGGAAGAAACCTGCAGCAGGTAAAAAAGGACTAATGTCTAGAATATATAAAAAGATTGCTACAATAGGAAAAGTCAAAGCACTTTTGTAAAATGGGCAAAGGGCAAATGACAGAAAAGAAAATCCAAATGGCCGATAGATATATACAGATACTCCACCTGACTAGTAATCAGGAGAATGCAGATGAAAAATAATGAGATATCACATTTCTCCCACGGAGTGACAAATACTTTAAACTTTAAGGAAGGGGGCTTCATAGCAGGCTAAATAATGGTATCCAAGGGATGCTAGCAAAGATTTCCAGCATTCTACCATGGGACTGCCTTCGGCTCTATGTTTTATTCAAGATTTTTGAAAAAAACAACTTACGTTGATGAAAATGAGAGGTTAGGATATTGTGCCACAAAACAAATTATTAACATTTTTTATTTAGGCTAAAATAGTAAGATGAAATTCCTCAGGGATGAAAAGTATTCTGACTTAAGACTTTTTTTAAAAAAGTCCCCAGTGTAGTATCGAATGGCATTCCATTCTGGGAACCGTCTGTTAAAGGACCCTATTAACAGCTTCCCCCAATGGAAGATAGGTGAACAGGATGACTGGGAAAGAGTCTAGACATCAAGTCATGAGGAGAAATGGTCAAAAGAGCTAGCAATAATAGGCCTCCGAGAAAAGAAAAGAAAAAGAAAAAAGGGGGAAAAAAAACCCTAAATTAAAATGGGGCAGCTGGTGCTCTCCAAAAATCTAGAGTTGACATCCAGGAAGAGGACTGGGCTTGTTCTCCCCTCTGCTCCTTAAGGTTGATCTAGAACCAAGAGCTCATTCAAGAGTGCAGGTTTCAGCTCAACCTGCCCCGTCCCACAAAAACCCAAGAATAATTATGAACTCTCTCTTCACAAAAAGGAAGAAGTGGGTGGGGGTGCCTGGGTGGCTCGGTCAGTTGAGTATCCAGCCCTTGATAGGCTCAGGTCATGATCTCACGGTTCATGGGTTCGAGCCCCATGTCAGACTCTGCACTGACAGCTTGGAGCCTGCTTGGGATTCTTGCTCTCTCTGCCCCTCCCCTACTCACGCTCGCACTCGCGCATGCGCACGCTCTCTCTCTCTCAAAATAAATAAACTTAAAAAAAAGAGAAAGGAAAAAAGAAGGAAGAAGAAAAGGAGCTGCTGCACATTTAAACACAGGGTACATGAAGTGCTTTGGGTTTTATAAAGGGTCTTCCTGACTAAAGGGAATTGGAACGGAAGATTTTGCCAGTCCCTTTCAATTTTTAAAGTCTATGAGGACAGGGTGAGGGATGATGGCAACAGGCACCCTATAAACACCCTTCAGGTGGCTTACACCGTTTTCTGAGCCAAAATGGATAAACTTTAAAGTTGCAGACAACAGTACTGACCTCGCCCATCTAAGGTCTATTTGCTTTGAGTGAACTAGAAGAGATACAGCCAAGAAAATGATTCCAATCTCTACATTTCATGGCTGAGAGGAAATAAATGCAAAACAACAAAGCAAGTACAAATGGCGTAGGGAGGGAAACGACTATATGCCAAGTGACAAGTCTGTTTTATTTTATTTTTAAAAAATTTTTAATGTTTTATTTACTTCTGAGAGAGAGAGAGAGAGAGAGACAGCATGAGCAGGGGAGGGTCAGAGAGAGAGGAGGACACAGAATCTGAAACAGGCTCCAGGCTCTGAGCTAGCTGTTAGCACAGAGCCCAACGTGGGGCTCGAACCCACGAACTATGAGATCATGACCTGAGCCGAAGTTGGACACTTAACTGACTGAGCCACCCAGGAGCCCCGTGGCCAGTCTGTTTTAAGCTGAACTGGGAATTCAGACAACACACTTGAAAACAATAAGGAACAGGTGACACACAGGCAGGACGTGGGGGTGTGGACACTAGAAATCAGAAGTCCCAGCCCTGTCCAGCACAGGGTCCGTGGTGGGCTTGGGTAAGAACATCACCAAGCAGAGAGACCTAATAGTAGGAAAGCAAGGTCACTGTTGCTATCAAAACAAAAACAAACAAACAAAAAAAACAGTCTCTGGTAGAGTTCTAGGAAGAATTTTAAAATGAAATTGCTTTTTACAAGTCCATGGAAGTACCCTCATCTCTTCATATACACCCATTTTGTATCCATGCTGCCTTTGACCCCTGTGAGCAGGTAAAACAGGGTACACACGTAAATAATAGTCACAATTATTTAAATTGCATAGATCCAAATGCAATTCAAAATTGCTGTGTAACCTTCACAGCATCATACAAATGTTTGTGGTTGTTTTTACTTTACTTAAAAGTAGCGGGAACCATCTGGTCATTTTCACCTCACCCATCCTGCCTCTTCTACATTTAGCCTCTCACCAGAAGGCAAAATCAAAAAGGAAAAATGGGTCTATTTAGATAAGGTAACAGTTTTCACACCCAGCTGCTCATCAAAATCACATGGAGAGCTCGTTAAAAATAGAGCTTCTTGTGCTCTGGACCTACTGAATCAGAAGCTCAGGGACACCGGGACCTGGGTGGCCCAGTGAGCTAAGTGTCTGGCTTTGGCTCAGGTCATGATCTCATGGTTCATGGGTTTGAGCCACACATTGAGCTTTGTGGTAACAGCTCGGAGGCTGGAGCCTGCTTCAGAATCTGTGTCTCCCTCTCTCTCTCTCTGCCCCCCCCCCCCCGTTAGTACTCTGTGTCTCTCCAAAATAAATATTTAAAAAAAAAAAAAAAAGAATCTCTAAGGATAATAAGGTCCAGGGCACAGAGTGACCCTAGACTATATAGGGGACAAATACGGGCACCTTTACAACCACTGGAATATCAAAAATAGAAGCCTGGCCACTTATACCTCTATAAAGTTCATCCTAATGCAGTATTATTTAAGTGTACAATGTTTATTCTGATTTTCATCTCCCCCTCTCTCCCCACCACTCATTGCTCAGGCAGTTAAGGGTTTTCAAGATACACAATTTTACAGTATTGATTTCATTCCAATGTACTGTCAGGGACACAGCAAGAGATAACTACAGGTTGGGTTCAAAGTTCCAGTAAAATTAATATGCTCAGTTACTGTTGTGTCAATTCAGCCATAATCATTAATTTCTGCAACTGCAGAAGTTAAGTGCTGATGTTCACAGGATGGTGTTTTCTTTTTAAGACACTCAATCACCAGTATCATGAAGCTGAAAGGAGCCTCAAAGTTTAATGAGCCCCAAACTAACATTTTATAGATCAGGAAAACAAGGTGAAGTCTAGAACCAGAACTCTCAGGCCTGGTTCAATACTTAGGGAAGAAAGACAGACTAAAAGATCTGTCCTTTCTTAGTAACACAAGAAATGTTTTCTTTCTTTCCCAGTGGACTCACAGGTCTGATTAAGTTTCTTCCTATAATTTTTTTTAAAGTAGGCTCCATGCCCAGCTTGGAGTCCAACGCAGGACCTGAACTCACCACCCAGAGACCAAGATGTGAGCTGAGATTGATAGTCAGATGCTCAACCGACGGAGCCACCCAGGCGCCCCGTCCGTTCCTATAATTTTTATATGAGAACAGGGCTTCCAGGGTAAGAGCAAATTCTGTCATTTTAATACTGTTACAAAGTAGGTTCTGTATTTTCACTCACTCAAACGAAACGCTTCATCGTTATGGTCTCTAGTAAAAACCAAATCAAAACAAAAGGTGGGAAAAGTGTAGCAGCAGCAAGGTTTGTGTCCATCAAGAGTAGGGGCCCACACCATTTAGGAGCTGTGAGTTACAGTGAAGCTTTTTCTGACCACCTTAGCTCAATGATCGATCTTCCTAAACTGCTAAAGAAGATTCTGTTTGTACTGTTCATTTACACTCCATCCAATCACGCTACACCTTAGATCTTGTTTCGGAGGTCCCTTGACTCTCCAAGTGAACAGTAACTATGTGTAGGGGCCCAGCCTCCCACCAGCTCTACCAACCCAGAGCACTAAGTTGGCAGGTGCAGGACAAACAATTATACTCTGTGTGACTTTCCCTTCATCTAGTCTACTTGGCAGATAGTCGCGACCTCGAAGATCCCATGAGCCGTCCGGCCCAACTTCCCCACGCAGCAGGCCTGACCCTCCGTCCGCCACTGACTTGGGCATCCCGCCAGAGACAGAGATTCCGAGCTGCCCCTGGCAGCACCCTGGCGGAAGGACTCGGCCTCTACACTAGCGGACGCCCGAGGCCCCAGCCAGGGGAGCCGGCCTCGCCCAGCCCGGCTGCGCCCCCGCCCGTGCCCCCACGCGGCCCTCACTTGTGCGTTTGCTGGTACAGCGGCTCCATGTCGCCGGCCCCGCCGGGTCCGGCCCTGGCTTCCTCGGAACACGTCTTCACAGCCCCCCTTCCGGCTTCCGGCTACCGGCTTCCGGTCGCCGCAGGACCCGCCCCCTCCTGCCGGCCAGGGCTGCCCCGACGCGCGCCCTGCTGGTGGTGATGGAGAGAGAGGAGGAGGGCCACGGGAGAGGAGAGAGGCCCGGACAAGAAGGCTAAATGTAGTCAGAGACACTGCTGCAGATGGAGGACGAGGAAGCATGGGTTTTGGCGGGGGGCTGGTGGGGCTGTCTTCAGTGTCGAGTCAGGCGTTGACAAGGGCAGTCGGAGAGGTAGTGACGTGAGGTCCTCAGAGCAAAGCTGCCGGGGAGCTGGTGGATACCTGCTGCTCCCAGGCGGAGGTTGAGTAGGACTCTTCTAGCTGGGCTTCGCTGTAAACTGCTTAGTTGTGGGTCTGGAGATTTCGCTCCACTGGGCTCTTGTGCGCAAGCATCTCCTATGTCAAATATGTCTGATTACTTCCACTCCCTCCCCCCCTCCCATTTATCCTTCCAATAAACTCGCAATGAATGAGTGGTAACTGTCATGTGGGCTGTGGGGAAACCGGGTTCCTCTTGCCCTCAAGAGAGGTCGCGGTCTAGGAAAGGAAGTAAGATAAGTGTACAAATAAACAGCTAATAAGGGAAAAAGTCCAAAGAGACAGCCGAGCTGGGGTCAGCCCCGTCGGAGATTGAGGAAAGACTTAATGCAGGAGGTGACATTTGAGTTAAGACTTGAGGATTTGGACGCTTCGGTCTCTCCACGTAGACCTAAACCATGTCCACCCTCCAGGCTTATCTGCAGTTCCTCCCAAGGGAGGAGATGTTCCTCTTCCTTTGGCAAGTTGATGCTTTTATTTTCCTGTATCCTGGAGCCCACCCAGTTTTGTGTCGCAAGAGACTGTCCACCCATGTACATTCTTTCCCTAACATTTTCCCATTTATTCTAATATTTATTAATAAGCACCTACTATTACCAGGCACAGATATGGGGGGGGGAGGAATACAAGATAAGAGAGCCCTCAAATCTCTCATCTCTCACAGTCTGTTGAGAGGGTTAGTCATGCCCTCAAGCAACATTATCAGGTCGAATAAGTACTATAATTGGTACAAAATACCTTTTTATTTTTCCTGAAGAAAAGCAAGTTCATGGACTAAATAGCCTACGAATGGGGCCCTCAAGAATCAATAGAGGTTTAACAGTGTCTTTCACAAGCAAACCACTCTGTAAATGTTGATCTTGTGGGCCTAATGGAGATGAAGGGAGGGCATTTGAAGCTGAGGGATAGCTTGAGAAAAGGGAAATAGTGGGAAAGAACATAGATCTTCTGTGGCTGGGTCTAGGGGGTTTGGGGGCAATAATAGTGTTAGAAGGAAAGTTGGAGCCAGATCGTGGGGAATCTGAAATGTCATGTCTAGATTTTTATTTATAGATTTTTTTAAATTCTGTAAATAGAAGCCTTTAGAGATTGGATAGAAATTTTAAATTTTCTCAAAGAATTTTTGTGCCGATATCTTGCTCTTCTGTGGACTTCACAGCATCCTAGTGAGGTGGGTTAGGACACATAAGGAAACTGAAGTCCAGAGGACCTCCTCTCTGCTTCTCAGTCTCTAAGGTCTTTGTATGGACATGGCCTTTCTCTAAAGAAAAGGAAACTCCATTCCCCCATCTTGCTGCACTTTAAACTTCTCATTTCTTTGTTTTTTATGACTAAGCCACATGGACAATACATCTACACTGCCAACATCTCTATGGGTGGCTTGCCTTCCAACCTCTTCTTTGTCCTACTAGAACTGTTTTCTAGGCTCACCAGAGTCTACCTGACTTAGTCCCTTTCCATGACTCTCCATACATATATTCATTGAGTTTATACCATGTATCAGGCAAGTGCAAGGACTGGGGCACAAAGATGAGTAAAACATTCATCAGCCTGCTGTAGAAGTTCTTTAACATACACATCTACCCAGGAGGGAAGCATCTACAGAGATCATTAGAATACTATGTTGCTAGTGTGGGATAGAGGTAATTAGGAACTATGTGATGACAGAGAAGTGACACTTAGCCTAGTTTGTGGATTCAAAGAGGGCTTCAAAGAGGAGATGATACCTGAACCGAGTCTTGCTTTGTTTATTTAATGCTAGTTACATTATTACACATAGTGTTGCATCATCCTTCACACTGAATGTGAATACTGACTTCCAATGACCCAAAGTTTGTTACTGTGATTCACTGATGATGACACTAATGGCAAATTTTCTCTAAAGTATGCAGGAAAATATGAATAATAATTCACTGTTCAGAATTACTTAGTATAAATTTACACCTATGTTTTTTCTTGAAATTTTTAGGCCTTAATCACTGCTTTCCTAGAACATGATCTCTTTCAGTGTTGATTGCAACCCTGCCTTCCACACATTGAAACCGTTTGGCAAAGGAGAAAAGGTAGTTAGGCTAGAGGTGCATGGGTGAAGCAAGAAGAGAAGTCCCATTCATGCAAGGAATACATGGCCCTCACCTGGCCCTACTTAAGGCTGACCCAGTGGCTCATGGCATCACTACAGTGATCAAAAGAAGACGAAGACATTGATTGTAAAAATCCAGTTGGCAGAATAATGGTCTCCAGCAGAAGACAGGAATGGCCACCTCTGGAGCACTACCTGACAGTCAGTGTAAAGCCTGTGGTAGGTGTGGGGTAACCACCCTCACCGGGGGAGGTGGGGAGCCCCACTATTCTGGTGTGTTGTAGACTGGAGGCAGCCTTGTGGTCAGAACACAGGCTGGCAAGAGCCATGGCATGGACCCAAGCAGGTGGCTTAACTCCAAGGGTCAATGATGGACTGTCAGTAGCCCAGAATCCTGAACACATCCTGTATCCAATGGGAATGGGAATCACCCCAAATCAGCAGCAAATCAATACCATGCAGGCGGCCTGATTGTGTGCAATGCCACAAAAGAAATATTGTTTTGGCAGATAGAAGCAATCTGCTTGCCAGCTTTCCCCGGACACCCACAGGCATGGGCCCTGAAGAGTTTCAGGGTACTTGGTCAATCCCATGCACAGGGTGGGAGATTGGAGAGTACTCTGAAGAGGAGAAACAGCCTAGAATGATCCAAGCCACTGAAGGGGGATTTACAAAGATTCAAAAATAGCACTCCAAAGTGTGGGGCCCACTGAGGCCTGGGACCTGGGCCAGAGATTTCACTTGCCTGGGTCTTAGGACTATATCAGGTGGTTGAACAAAAGTAGTTTCATATATTTTGCTCCCATTAAAAGATGGAGTCTAACTCTATTTCACTTTTAATCTGAGCTGGATTTAGTGACTTGTTTAATCAATATAATGTGACAGAAGAGAAACTCTGGATTTTTCCAAGGCCAGGTCATAAGAAGTCTTTCAGCTTCCACCCAGCTCTTTGGAGCACTCACACTGGTAACCCCGAATCACCTTGGAAGAAGTCCAACTCCCCTAAGGCCATCATTCTGGAAAGCCCAAATGTGTAGGTGCTTCACTCAACATGCCCAACTGAGCCAACTCTCCCAGCTGAGGCACCAGACATGCAGGTGAAGCTGTCTCATACCCTTTATCCTAGTCCATTCACCAACTGAACCCCATCAAGTGATCTCTCCAGGAAGAAGAATGGAAAAGAAGAATCACCCAACTGAGCCTATGTCTGAATTCCTATCCCGGGAAATCAAGAGATACAGAAAATGGATGTTATTTTAAGCCACTGAATTTGGGGGTAGTTTGTTATACGGCAATAGACACCTGACCTCAAAAAGTTTCTCATCTAAAAAAAAAAGTTTATCGTCTAGATGGAGAGACGGAGTACAGGGCTTATGAAAAGGTAACAGTGCAGTAAAGACAATCAAGTTCTGTCACAATGCAGAGAAGAAAGAGATCTCTTTGAATGTGGATGATGAGAGAAGACTTTCTAGAAGAGAAGAATTCAGCTGGACTTTGAAATACAAGAAAGATAAGATGTTTGGAGAGGCAGGCACAGGGCATTTCTGGCAAGCAGAGAGGTAAACCTAGGAAGGTATAGGCAGTCCCAGGCAGTCTGTGTGGTTCCTTTGGGCTAGAGCAGATGGTTTCTGCAGTAGAAAAAGATGGAGCTGGTGTGGTGTAGACAGGAAAAATACCTTGCCTCCATCTTATAGCCCCAGGGAATGTCTGGAGGGGCTTTGAGCCTTGGCTAATGGAGTCAAGTAATATTTCTGGAAAATCATATGATGGCTTCATGCTCTCTCCTTTTATTTGAGCTTCAAGAGGTGCCCCCACAGTTCCATGGTTCCAGGGTTTGGCAAACCAATCCAGGGTCAGCCTATTTGTTTCCCTTGGTGGTTTGATAAACTTGAAACCCTTGATCTGTCCAATTTTGTGGAACTTCATTCTTGTCTCTGAAACCCAATTAATCTGTTGTGTGTCTCTGGCCACTTCATTGAGATTGAATAGAGCAATTCTGTTACCCCTCCTCCTAAATGGTCAGTGCTTCCAAACTCCCCCACCTTGGTCTCTTCCCCCCACCTCCCAGTGCACCTTCTGGTCCTGTTTCCTCCTGAGCTCCTATTGCCCATCCCACCTGTGCCAAGGCTCACACACCCTGTGTCAGCTGTGACTCAGTCTCACTCCCCCATCAGACTATAAGACCCTGTCGAAATGTCCTGTCCCTCCTCAATCACTCTCTCCCCTTTTCAATCATCTTCTTGAATGATGCCTAAGAGATCCTTATAACACAGAGATGTGCTGTCATTCATATCCTGGAACCTTTGATAGCTCCCCAGTGCTTACAAAGCCCAGTAAGATAGTCTTATCTGGACAGACAGAGCCCTCCTTACTGACCACATTCTTGGCCATTCCCGCATCCTAACTAAAGTGATTGCAGTCGCTCGCAACATTTGTGCTCTCTCACCTCTGTACACTCTATTCCCTGTGCTTCAGACCTCCTTCCTTCTGCTCAGGCCTGATTAACTCCCACTCAGTCAAGTCTCAGCTCTGGTTTCATCTTCCTTGGGGAGCGCCCCGACACCCAGACTGGGTGGGGACTCCTCCCCCCATATCCTCTGACACCTGGTGCTATTTCTCAACACTTGTCACAGGCGTCCCAGTACTCTGTCCAGCAGCCTGAGGACAGAGGACATGGCTTTCCCCCATGCGCCTCCTGAGCGTCCAGCTCAGTGACTGGTATAAAGTGTGTGCTTGCTAAATGTCTGTTGCATTCCCATGGACTCCGTTTAATCACCTCATTCCCCTTAAGTATTCCACCTACCTGCCATTTCAGAAGCCCAGAATTATTTGAGGGTTGGCTTTTAGGTGATTTTAAGCTGCCTGCATCAGAGGACCCATTCTTGCTGAAAGGCTTGTCCATTGAAATCGATGTGGAGTGCTAAACACAGTGCCTTCTCCTCAAGTACTTT